CTGCTGCCTAATAATTTCATTTGGTGACCCCTAGTTCATATGTTATGAGGAGTAAATAACTCTTCCTTATTTACTTTCTCCACACCAGTCATGATTTTATAGATTTCCATCATATATCCCCTTAGTTGTCTCTTTTCCAAGCTGAAAAGTTCCAATCTTATTAATCTCTTTTCATACGGAAGCTGTTCCATACCCCTCTTATTTTTGTTGCCCTTTTCTGAACCTTTTCCAATTCCAATATATCTTTTTGAGATGGGGTGATCACATCTGCACGCAGTATTCAAGATGAAAAATTAATCAAGCAAAGCCTGATTTGTAATTTTATTCTACAATTACAACCTTTTCCCAAGGTCCTGTCTATACACCAAATTCAGCTAGGGTGGGGGACATAGTTACTACAGTGACTTTGCACAGGTGTAAATAACTACATGAGATGCAAGGCAGTGGAGAATCAAGCTCTACACGCAAAACTCCCACTGTAGTTATGCTGAGCTCTGTGTGTGCTTGTGTCTGAAAGCAGAATTTGGCCTACTGTCTTTAAGATTATCAACAGAATAGAATACACCGAACTACTACTAAAAAAAAAAATTCTTAAAATCTGTGAGGTAGAGACTGTGAAGTAGTGACTTCCCTGTTCTTCAAGTTGTGCCATCTCTTCCTCATTCAAATGGAGTTTGACAAGTTGCAAACTGAAATAGAGATTACAAGTACAGTACTGTTAACTCACTAATATACATATATTCTTTGCAGCATGATGGGCAATGCTGATCTCTAGCCACTTGCCAGCATAATATACAAGCTGGTACTCCCCATACTGGCACTCTCACCATGCCATTCATTCAGGCACAAAAATTCTTCATAATGAAGAGTGATGGTAGATTAGAACTTTTGATTTGAGTTGAATTTATCTGGAGAGGAGATATTACTGACAAACTAGACATAGCCCACCTTACTTCAGCAAAAAGTTTTTGAAACAAAGGCAATTTAACATTTAAGGCCAAGCTCTGTCCTCAAAATCAATGGGAATTGTATGCTCACAATCAGGGGCAGCAGCCAGTTAGCAAAGATTGTGGCAGGAGGAGGAGCAATGGAAGAGCCCCTCCAAAAAGTAGGGATACCTCCTGGCCCCCACAACAGACGGGAGGGGCTGCAGGGCACTGCGCTGCCCTCTCGAGCAAGCAATGGGCTATTGGGGTGTCCCACCCTGTCAATGTGTAACTCAATGCTGGCCCCTCCCAGCAGGAGCGTGGGCTCCAAGGCACCTCGGGAAGAAAATGCTTTAGTAGCTCGTGGTCACGCCCCCCGCACCAGCCGGGGCTCGCTGGCCCTAGTAGCATGGGGCAGACGGCAGCCAGCGCTCTCAGTGCCACGTGTAGCTGGTGACTCGCTCCGCCCCGCGGGGGGGGGGGAGCAGACTGACAGCTCGAGTAACAGCGCACGCGTCCGTAGCTCTCCTCTAGAGACCGGAGGAGGGTGCACGCGCCACGCCCCCCGCCCCTACGTCACCCTGCGTCCCGCGTGCGGCGGGACGTTGCGCGGCGCCGTCCGCCGACGTTCAGCGGAGCCTGAGAGGTGACGTTGCACTCGAGCCGGGGGCGGGGATAGAGCGAGGCGCCGCGGAGCTAAACGGGCCGCTCCCAGCGACTCCGTCCTGCCCTCAGCCGCAGCGGGCGGCCCGGCTCCGGGTCCCGGCTCTGCCCGCGCGGGCCCGGCAGCGGGAGATGCGCTCGGCTTGAGCACCCGCCCCGCCCTCGGTTTCGGCCCCTCCGGGGTGGGAGCAGCGATGGCGGCGCGGAGCTGGCAGGAGGCGCTGGCCCAGCAGGCCGAGGAGGTGTCGGCCCGGGTGCGGGACGCGCTGTCGGTCGGGCTGGGCCTGCTGCGCACAGAGCTGGGTCTGGAGCTGGGCCTCGAGCCGCAGGGCCTCCCGAGCTGGCTCGTGCTGCTCGCCACGGCCGCCCTGGGGCTGCTGCTGCTGCTGGGGCTGCTCTGGGCCGTGGCTTGCGCAACGGGCTCCCGCAGGAAGCAGCCCCGGAGCCTGCCTGGCCGGGAAGAAGACGAGGCGGTAGCTCTGGGCCTGACAGGCGGCGGTGGCGTCCCCAACAAGGAGGCTCCGGCCGCGCTGCTGCTGCTGAAGGCTGAGGAGCAGAAGAAACGGACCAAGAAGAGACTTGCGGAGAAAGGGGCGGCCAGGGTGAGCGAAGGGACGGGGGGCTGGGGGCTCACTGACGGGGGGGGGCGCGAGGGGGCTGGGGGCTCACTGACGGCGGGGGCGCGAGGGAGGAGGATTGGCTTCACAGTTGCATTTGGAGAAGGAAAGAAGCACGGTCTTTAATTTGAACAGTTGTTTCAGATTAAAGTAAAACTGCCACAACATTCTTGTTTTAGACGTTTTATTTATAACGAGAGTTTGAAAAAACTTACCATAGTGCTTCAAGGTGGACGCTGGTGTGAGAGAGGGCTGTTGGTGAAGTCCAGGGACAAGTAGTCCTTGTGCTGTAGGTTTCCCAAGTAGCTGCAGGGTGAAACTCATGTGGTATTTGCTTGTTGTTCTGGATTATGAATAGCTCATGTGAGATTGCCCGTTTCTTTTCAGTTGCTTTGCTACTTGGAAAGCTTTGAGTAGCAGTAAATGCATTGAAGCTTTTTGCGGGGAGATGGGACAGCATTGGTTCATCTTTAGAAACTAAAGGGGGGAGGGATAGCTCAGTTGTTTGAGCATTGGCCTGCTAAACCCAGGGTTGTGAGTTCAACCTTTGAGGGGGCCACTTGGGGTTCTGGGGCAAAATCAGTACTTGGTCCTGCTAGTGAAGGCAGGGGGCTGGACTCGATGACCTTTCAAAGTCCCATCCAGTTCTAGGAGATGGGATAGCTCCATTTTTTTTTCTAAGAAACCCTGAGGTCTTGAGATTTAATTACCTTTTAATTTAATAAAGCTTTAACTCTACAGAAGTTAGAAGTTTACCTTCTTCACTCAAGCAAGCTTAGGTTTTTTTAAAGTTTATTATAGAGTCCAGACAAGTGAACAAGTACTATAAACTGTAGCAATAAATAACAGACTTTGAGATAAACTTGACAACTCAAGATTTTGCATGTCTCATTGAAAAGATGGAGCGAAATCGATAATCCATAGAGGAACACACTGTAATAATCTAAAAGCTATTTCTAAATGAGAGACTTGGTGGGTATGATAAGTGCACTAAGGATAATATCAAGTAAGTAAAGCTGTTTCTTAAGAAACTACTTTAAAATTCAATTGCATTGGAGGATTCCATTGCATTTTTTTCAGTCTTTAAATATCACAATGTGTAGACAACTGTCAGTTTTTGATATTGTAGCATAGCTGTAGTCATGTCCATCCCAGGATATTAGAGTCACAAAGAGGATGAGGTAATATCTTTTATTGGACCAACTTCTGTTGGCGAGAAAGACAAGTTTTCAAGTCACACATAGTTCTTCAGGTCTGGGAAAGGTACTCGGAGTTTCACAGGTAAATGCAAGGTAGAACAGATTGGTATAAATAGGTAGCTCATATTCTAAGGGACCATTCAAGGTAGAGTGGCCAGTTAACATCTCAGTCAGGACAAAAAGATGGGGTTAGTGGGTTACGGATTGTTGTAATAAGCCATTAATCCAGTGTGTCTGTTCAATCCATGATTTTTAGTGTCTAGCAGAGTTATGTATTTAAGTTCTCAGGCTTGTCTTGTGAAAGTATTGTGCAGATTTCCCTTGAGGATGGGGACTGATAAGTCAAACATAGAGTGATTGCTTTGTGAAAAGGCAATTTTTGTCTATCATCATTTTCCTGTGCAAGTTCATTTGAGAACATAGTGATTATCTGGATTCACCAATGTAATTGTTGGGGCATTTAGTGCACTGGATGAGGTATACAACATGTTGTGATAGGCATGTGTAGAATCCATGGATCTTGGAAAATGCCACAAGGACTCCTTGTGTTTTGTTTTGCTGATACAGACTAACATGGCTACCATTGAAACTTGAAAGGTGTGTTGATCATTGTAGCAGTGGAGATACGTCTTTAGGTTTTGTATCTCTTGTTATGGAAAGGTCTGGTGCTGCTTTGAGTTGGTGTGTCCTGGTTTGTGGGGAGCTTGCTTCTGATCATGTTGGAGGAGGTGGGGGGGGTTGTCTGAAGGTCAGAAGTGGGGGTTCAGGAAAGATTTCCTTCAGGATGCATTCCCCATCAAGTTTAGGTTGTAGTTTGATACACCATATGGGTTCCAGTTTGAGGTGGTAGGTGACAACGAGGGGTATGTGGTTGGAGAAGGCTTTATATCTGTATTGAAGCAAGTTCTCTTGGGGTATTGGGGTGGTCAGTTCCTTGAAGCGATCTACTTCTCTGGTGGAGCGTCCTTGTTTCGTGAAGGCAATTTTAAGTGAGTTAAAGTGTATCTTAAATCTTTCCCAGACCTGAAGAAGAGCTTTCTGGGGCTTGAAAGCTTCTCTCACCAACAGAAGTTAGTCCAATAAAAGATATTACCTCATCCATCTTGTTTTTTATATTGCTTGCTTTGCTGTACTTTCACTTAGTAAGCAAACTAATCCCATGCATCAAGTTACTGCACACCCTTCTAAAGCTCTTTCTTGTCAGAGATTTGGGTCCTAGACAGATTGGTCTGTAGCTTTCTGTTTTGGCTAAATAGTTTTAATACTGTTTTGCCAAAATAGGATGGAAGAAAGTGGAATATGTGTCATTTGGCCTGTTACAACCTTGCCTTTCAGTTGCCTCTCATAAGATCTAAATAAGTGAAAGTTTAACTGATGATCTGCAAAGTGGAAAAAACTGGGCTTATACCTTTTTCTGGTTCTTAGCCATTCTTCTTCGCATAGCAAAGTGGGTATTGCTCCTTTTTTTTAAAAAAAAATTAGAATTAAGGTCTTCACTCCTGGAAAACTCTGTGGTGACCAAGAACCAGTGAAATTATCTTTTAAGAATCCAGGGAGTGAAAGCTTTGAAATTGGAAGGGGAGGTATTATTCAGACTGTTTAAAACTTTGATTAATTATCATTTTAGAGAGAGGGTATATTTGTTAAAGATTCAAAATCCTGTTTATTCAGTGAACACACACACATCTGAGTCCTCCACAATGTCCCCCAGCAATCAGGAAAAAATAGACTTGACATTCTTTATATATCTAAGAAAAAGAAAAGCAAAAATAATTAACAAATGTTTGAGGCCTTTTTCATCAAGGAAACAAAAGGGACGAAGCCCTTACTGACTCAAACACACACCCTTCCACCAAAGTAGTTGAGTTTTTAATAGGTGTATTGTCTTCTATTTTAACTCCCCATGAACACACATTCTCTTGTTAAAGAAAATGCACATACTGGATCCATATATATATATATATATATACACACACACAATGATACATATCATTAACTATGCTGTTTCAGTTAACCCTATTTCTCATGAAAAAAAATTAGCAGGATCTGTCCCAGTAGTTTAATCCTTCCAGTGTTGCCAAATTTTAAATAGGGTTAAATATTTTTAACTGTAGTATCGTTTTTAAAATAAATTGTGATCAAAATATGAATACAACACTATGTATATATATTTGAATGAGATGAAAACTACCAATGTCATGCCAAATAAATAAATATAAATATAAATATATAAAAATTAATTACTGAGCTTTCACCGTGGCAGGTAACCTACAACTTTCATGTATTACTGAATGCAGGGCTTGAAAAATTTACCTGGCACTTACCACCCATACGTAGGGTAAAGAACTCCACTACAGCTATACCCCTTGCAACTTAAGGGAATAAAAAGATTGTATACTGCTTGCCAGTATGTTAGTCAAATAATATCCAATCTAAAGTTTTTAATATAAATTAATGTTAGAATTAGTCAAATAGTCAAAACTATTTAGTGAATATATTTGATTGTGAGAGTAGTAATCTCCGGTAACACCTTTACAAAGGACCAAACTTACTAGCCATAGATTGATTCAAAAGATGGGGATAGCTCACTGTTTGGAGTCCCCATCCAATGGAGAAATCAATTTCTGCCTCTGCCAGGTGCCTGAAAGAGGAATCTATAGGGATTATTTATACTGGTAATCCTTTTAAGACTTTTTTTTTCACCTCCAATCCCAGAGCCTCCTGGCTCCTACAAGGTTTTTCTTCTCTTCTCCTCCCTGCTCCCTGCCGGAGCTTCTGGTAGTTGGTGTCCCCTCAGGAGGATGAAGATGATGCTGGTCTCTGGTTTTTGTTCACTTCCCCCCCCTTGAATTTGGACCCTGGGTGGGACTCAAAAGGCAACCCATCAACTTCATTGTCTTATTTAGTTTAAAAACAACAATAATAGGGAACCACTGTTCTATGCTATGGAAAGTGTTATGGGTTCTTTGTAAGTATACTGTAACATAGCAGATTTTGATACTTTTTACTATTTAAATAAAGGATCAAACAAAGTAATCTTTCATAACTGAGGTTGGATCAACTCCTAGTCTTGTTCTAAAATAATCAATTTGAGACTTGGAAAAGGTTCCACAATTTAAAAACTTAATTGTTATGATACAGGGCTGAGTTTGAGTTTTATTAGTAAACTATCTCATAACAAAGTAATTTAAAAAAAAAAGTTTTCAGGATGTATTTAAATGTGAAATATTACAACTATTTTTAAAGATAATTTGAACCCAAAATTACACCTTTCCATTTGCAGTTAAGGCTGTACACTTCTAGTAACATTTGTTTCAGATCATTTTTTAAAAAATCCTGAAGTTCCCTAAAATTGTTCCTCTTCCTCTGTTTTCAACTGTCAGCTGAAGGCAGGATAGCATAGTCTTTAAGCCACCGCAAGACAGAATAGCACTTTTCACCCAAGTCATTTCAGAGCCCACAAAAAATGCACTGTCAACAGTTGTCACCACATCCTGTGTGCAGAAAGTGTGTGTTCACCTTTGGGCGTTAAATCAGTTACAAGAGACAGCAGTTCTATATTTTTGGCTTTCAAAATAGGCAGTGCATAACAAATGAAATCTGAAGAATATATATCTGCTAAGTCAAGTCACTGAGGCGGCAGGTCTACACTTAAGCTACAACAGTGCAGCTGCAGCGCTTTAGTGAATATGCTAATATACTGATGGGAGAACTCCCATCAGCATGGTTTATCCACCTCCACAGGAGGCAGAAGTTCTGTCAATGGGAAAAGCTCTCCCATCAACATAGTGCTGTTCACACCAGTGGTTAGGACTATATAACTGCATCGATCAGAAGTGTGGATTTTCACAACCTGAATGACACAGTTATATCAATGTAAGTTTGTAATGCAGACCTGGCCTTAGAATAGTTATGAAGGCAGTGTAATAGCTAGATATACTAGGTCCTAATAAGTAGCAGCTCTTCCATCTAACAAATGTTTCTTGTTGAATCTGTCAGCAAGTATTAAAGTAGTATACCCTTTAACATACAGTTTGACCTGTTCTGAAATTAAAGGCAACAACTTTAGTTCTAGTGCTTGAGATTAATATTAAACATGATTTTTAATTCTTAGTTAAAATTGTGTCCTGTAAAAGAAAATACAAACTCAGTCAAGAGTATGTTTGGTACTATCAAATAAAAATGAAGATGCAGCTCCTATCCCATGGAGATGAATTTAAATACGATGCCATGCAAACTAAACATATCATGGAAACATAACTTAAATGATACATCGGCAGGAGATGAAATCTTCATAAGAATGGCCATATTGGGTTAGACCAATGGTTCATCTAGCCCAGTATCTTGTCTTCTGACAGTGGCCAATGCCAGATGCTTCAAAGAGAATGAAAAGACCAAGGCAATCAGTGATCCATCTCCTGTTGTCCAGTCACAGCATCAGGCAGTCAAAGGCTATGGGACACTCAGAGCATGGGGTTGCATTCCTGACCATCTTGCCTAATAGCCATTGATGGATCTGTCCTCCATGAACGTATCTCATTATTTTTTTAATTCAGTTATAGTTTTGGCCTTCACAACATCCCCTGGCAAGCAGTTCCACAGGTTGACTGTTGTGTGAAGTACTTCCTTTTGTTTGTTTTAAACCTTCATGCCCCTTTTTTCTCTCTCTGTGCTCCAGAGGTGGGAGAAGGAGGTTGATGTAGGCTAATAATTGTAATAAGTCTCTGGGTCTAAATGGCAGCAAGAATGTCCTTTATTACTACTTTGTACTAATACAGCACTTAGGAACTAACAGTCTGATTGAAGACTGTCAGAAGAGTGGGGAAGAGGTGAGGGGTATTGCAGAAATATTTTAAATAAAAGTGTAGAGGTCTTTATTTCGTAGTGGTTTTTAAAATAAAATCCAGATTTAAGTGGAGCATGGCAAATTACAGATTTTTTTTTTCAGTTCACTGGCAGCACCAAAATAATAATAATAAAAAAAAACAAGTTGAACCAAATCCAAAAAATTTGAGCACGTCAAAAAAGTAGACACAAAATTAGTTTCAAGTCAAAGAAAACATTTCGGTCAACAAAAACAAAAAAAATTTCCACCTAAAAGCAAATTAATAAAAGACTAGATTCCTAAACTGGCTGGAAGCAGGAAGTGGGTGTCACCTTATAACCTTTAGCACAGTGGTTAGGGAAATCACTTGTGAGCTGGGGTTCAGTTCTTCCCTCTGTCTGATGTGGACAAGAGATTTGGATTTGCAGGCAAGGGCTAGCCGTTCGGCCATGGATTATTCTGGTATAGGTCTCTGCTTCTCAAGTTGAGTTGTTCCACTTTGCATAAAATACTTGAATAGTCACCAGGCCAGAGAGTGAGATTCCTATAGCCTAGTGATTACGGTACTTGCCTGTGAGGTGGGAGACCCAAGTTCATGAGCCTGTTCCAATGACTATTTAATTATGTATACACAGTAGAACAACTTCAACAGGAAAGCTTGAGAGAGACCCACTCCAGAATATCCCATAGCCTGGTCACTGGGGCGCTCTCCTCTAAGGTGGGAGATCCAAATTTAAATCCCTTCTCCATATAAATGACAAAAAGGATAATTAAAACCCAGGTCTCTCACATCCCAGGCCATAACCAGTAGGCCTAAAGTTATATGTGCACCTTCTTCTCCTCTTACCATCTTGTGAATGGTTCATGAGGGGCCCTCCTTCAGAAACTGGCTGAAATGATTTATTTGGTGAATTTGAGTCACATTTTGAGAATGGTTTGTGGGTTGACCAAAACTACTTTTTTTAGTGACTATCTAAAATTTCACCCAGTTTAAGATTTTTAATAGCGTGCATATCTATGTGTGGTTAGTTTGTTTTTAATTTAAATAGGTAACCCACTACATTTGCAACTTGTAGTTTTAAGAACTTGGTATCTGACAAAGTTGATGCTTTGAAAAGTAATCCCTGGTTTGAGGGGAAAACACTTCTCCATTTTCGCGCGCTCTCTCTCTCTCCTTCCTCCCTCCCCCAATACATTTGGCAAAACAGAATTGTGGCTGGCACTACAGAGGTTTAACTAGAAGGTAGTTTGCTGTACTTATGCAGTTACTTATGCAATTATTGCATTACAGTGAGATACTGCAGAGGACACCTTACTCCAATTGTGAGTACTTGTGCAGTTGCTCACATGGATACTGCATATACACCACTACCTCGATATAACGCCACCCGGTATAACATGAATTCAGATATAACGCGGTAAAGCAGTGCTCCAAAGGGGCGGGGCTGTGCACTCTGGTGGATCAAAGCAAGTTCAATACAATGCAGTAAGATTCTTTTTTGGCTCCCGAGAACAGCATTATATCGAGGTAGAGGTGTACTTCTGTGTCTATACATGTGAGAAAGCAAATGCACATGCCCATTTACTTATGTGTATTAAAGTAATTGCTATCAATATACACAATCCTAAACCTCATCAGGAAGATTTTTTTTAAAAATTGTAATGTTTAGCAAAACTTATTTGGAATCCAAGCTACAGTTGTTTAGATCAGACCTAAAGTTCCTGAAAATTTTATTGATACATATTTTTTTTTGTCTAGGAGCAATTATATATTTAATACCCCTCAATATAAAGATTGATAAAATACTTCCAGTGCCCTCTATTTTATTTCATGTTTGTTTACATTAAAAATAGTAAAGCTGTATAACATTCCACTACATAATTGGTTACAGTTTGGTATAGATATTACTGTAAATAAGTCATGGCTTTCCTTCACTGGTGATGATTCTTAATCTGCTTGTTTACGATATGCAAGACAGTTGCTATTCAACAGACTAGCTGTAGAAACTACTAGTCTGATTTTTATGCAGCTGCATTTAGCATATTTACTAGTTCATGTACTTGTTTCTGAACTTCATACAGTATATACAACTACAGTAGCAGTCTTCTGAAATTTTGAAAATAAGCTTTGAAAATGTTTCATATAAAACTAAATTGCTTTACATTAAAAGGTAATTAAGCTAGCATTTAGGTTCTTTCCCCATAGTGCATAGAACTATAGTTGGCTTCAAAGAAAACCTCTCATACTTCTCTTTGTAATCATGTAACTTACATTCTGTGATTTGCTTCACCTGCCCTCTCAGATTTAATCGGATTTTAAATTTTTGATTACATATGCAGCCTAATGGACGGCCTGTTCTTGAAGAGTTTGAGGATGAAATAATTCAGACGGTTCGAAGAGAAAATCTGAAGCAGCCACTGGATGCAGAAAAGAAAAATGAGAAGGTTATTTATGGCTTTGAAACTATAGTAAACTTCCTGATGAGATTAATTTTTATGTATTTGTATTATGTGAAGACCTTAACCAGTTCCATTATGTATAAGAGAATAAAAGACAATCCCTGCCCTGAAGAGCTCTTATCCAATTTAAATTATTTTATAAAAATAGTAAATTTTCCAACTGCTAATTTTATTTATTTATTTATTTATTTATTTGAAAGATAGCTTTAAAGATATTAACATCCTACATCAGGAATTAAATGTTTGCACTTCCTTTTAAAACAAAGGAATTTAAAATACTGAATAGCAGCTACTGTACATGATAAGGCCAAATCAATATTCAATTGTGTGTACTCTTTGTAGGTGCTCAAAAGGTGATCAGTGTAATCTTTCAAATAACGTACAATTATTGTATCATCTAACAGCTGAGGGCGTGCTGTTTTAAGGCCAAATCCTACACTTTTAAACTCTTTTACTTGAATGGGAGTTGTTGACTTAAGGGCTTCGGGATCTGGCCTTTAGGTGGTGGTGATGTCCTTAATTTTTGAAGACAATTATGGAACCTTGAAGTCGGATTTTTGGCAATAAATAAAGGAAACATTTTTTTTTTAGCTTTTGTTATAAAATTAATTACATTCATATCCTGTTACTGACTTAGTTGGCTAAACTTACATCTTCTGTTAAAGCTTTGCTATACACGTTTAAATAGAACATCAGATTGCATTTAAATTTGTCATTTCCTACACATTGAGGACTGCCTTCTCATTTCTTCCAGATTTAACATGTACCATAAACCACTGAGCAAATATACCCTCAGTTCACCAGACAACTTTTATTTATCTGATTAAAATAGGCATATGACCAGAACTGACTTTATCTTGGCTCTTTTGCTCACAACTTTATATAATTGAAAAAAAATACAGGTTACATCTGCTGGTTTAAATTATATGATGTCAAGTAAATTGCCGTACAGCGATTTCCTGATTTGAAAACGATTGTCACATTGGTTTTGGTTCTAGCTCTAATAAAAATGTACTCACTCATACAGGGAATTTTTAAAATCTTTCTGTGATAGACAACAAAGTGATTAGGCTAAAAACTGTTCTCATGATACTGTTGGGGATTCAT